CTCGACATCATTGTTTGTTATAGAATGACACTTAATAGAGTACTTGATTACTTCTCTGGACGGTATTGTGAGAACCAACCCAAGACTAAAGCCTTTAACATTGGATGATCCATTTATGAAAAGGGCACAAACTCATGGAACTGATTTGAAAGCCAATATTGCCTCCAACTCAGCCTCCAGGAGTATAGCAATACTAAACTCATCCACAAAGTCGGCTAAGACTCGCGAGTTGATGGCAGTATAGGGTTGATACCTAAAGTCATACTCATTAAGTTCAACTGCCAACTTTGCAATACAACCTTAGGACTCCGATTTGTGAAGGATGCTCCGCAAGGGAAAAGTCATTACAACTAAAATTGGATGCCGCAAATTTCAAGCGACTACTACAAATGCCAAAGCTAATTTCTCTAAGGTTTTTGTTTCTAGAAGTGCATTAACGACATAACAAATTGGAGATTATGTACCTAATTCTAGACTAGTACTGCATTTACTAATACTTTTGATACAGCTAAATAGATCAGCAATCGTTCTCCATCTCAAATCTTCGACAGTAGTAGCAGATTAGCTAAGTAACTCTTTAAGTCTTATAGAGCTTTCCAAATCTATTTGAAGTCTTTAAACCTTTTTAATACCAAAAAATAACTTATGAAACCTTTATGAGGAGTTGGATATGAACCTTCTTAGAACTATAGTTCAACTCGTCAGCTTTTGAACATCGTTTTTGCTCTTTAACATGTCAGGTATACCTTTAATGGCATTAATTTGATCTGAGTCAACCTTGATTTCTCAATTGGAGTTAAGTAAACCCAAGAAGTTACTAGAGTCCATTTCGAATGCACATTTTTCTAGGTTTAACTTCATGTTGGACCGTTGAAGAGTAGAAAATGTTTCCCTCAAGTGACTGTCACGACCCCAAAATCCCACTTTTAGGATTGTGATGGCACCAAGTCTGTACGACTAGGTAAGCCTATCACACTACAATATCATATAAGATGTAATAATTTAATATTAAATAAAATTGAGAACAATGGCCCAATAAACAACCAGTATCATAATACAACTTTCACAAATCCCAAAATCTGGTAATACAGAGTCATAAATCTTTATGGATTGTACATAAGATATTCCAAATAACAATACTATTTTAGATCACAATTTAAACAGTAGCACAAATGAAGTAAGATGGTGACCCCGAGACCTATGAACGAAAACGGAAGGTATACCTTGAAGTCTCCAACCGCATTGGCACCATTCTCAAAACCCACACGATCCGAAGTACCTACATTTGCACAAAAATATGCAGAAGAATAGCATGAGTACACCAGCGTGGTACCCAGTAAGTATCAAGACTAACCTTGGTGGAGCAGTGACGAGGTAAGTCAAGACAACCACTAGACAATAACCTGTGTGAGCATGTAAATATAAAGCTAATAGTGGAAAGAACGTCAATATAAGGCTAACAGGGGAAGGAATATTAGTATAAAACTAATAACGGAATAATGGAAACAAAATGGCAACAAGAAGTAAATAGGTGATAAAACGACAAAATTAGAACACAGTTAAAAATATGAATAGAATCAATTAGGGAAAATAAATGACAATTCAAGCAATCAAGTTGTTCCAACACATGATCTACAACAAGAATCACTCTGAGGCACCACATCTCATAACCACAAATCATAGGCCACAATTACGAATCTGACAGCCATGGCACCTCATGCCCACATTATCAATCACCTTCGCACGACAAGGTCCACGTGCTACCATGTACATTGTATCAGTGCCAATTGCCAAATAAAATATTCGAGAGATTTATTTAAATAAAATAAGGCATATTAACAATTTTGAATAAAGTAAAGCGTCAAATGAGATTATGAGTTTAATTTAGGAATCAAATAAAGTACAATTTTATGCAAAGTAGAGCATCAAACGGAAAAATGAGTTTAGTTTAGAAATCAAATAGGGTAAAATAAAATAACATTTTTAAATAAAGTAAAACATCGGATAAGTCAACAAATTAAATGTAGAATTATTTAAAGTAAAGTGTAATAACAATTTAAGTAAAGTAAAGCATCAAATAGGGTAATTAGTTTAATTTGAGAATCATTTAATGTAAGTATGAAATATTTTAAATATAGCAAAGCACTAATTGTGAGATAACGAGTTTTATCTTCAGAGTCACATAAAGTAAAGCATGTTAACAATTTCTTTATTTAAAACCATTATGTTACCAACAACTTAACAGAATATAAGATGATGACTCCAAGCAAGTAAATTCATCTTGACAATCAATTCACCAAGTAACAACAGCGGCACAGATTGGCACATTAAGGTAACACAGCATATCACGTAGAATGCATGACTCACACAAGAAGTCATAATCGTTCCAAATAAAGGTAACAACAAATAACCAAATACAATCAAAATACAAGTGAAATGATTTAAGGAAAAACCAATAAATGTTCAACTCAACAAACTGTTCCAGCATAGAATGTACAATAAGAATCACACTGAGGTACCACGCCTTATATTCATATTTCACAAGTTACAATCACGGTCTCCTTATATCGCCGCGTGAGATTTGCATTCATTTTTAAAACATCTTTCCCCGAACTAGCTTCATGCACTTTAGCCCCCTTATCTCGCCGTGTGGCTTCAAGTAATTTCCTTACTAGCAACATGCGCATAAATCCTACCTTATCTTGCCGCATGCGCATCAATACTTACCCTTATACCTCTGGATACGCATCAACATCACAACACAATAATCAACTCGCACCACGTGTCCGTATGTCACAATATTGCCAAATTCAACTATACCAATGTCAACATAACACATAGCCCACGACTCAATCTCAATGTGCATAAGAATCAAAATAACAACAAGATGAATGGGGAAATAACTCAAGTATGAATGATATTCCATAAAATAACAATTTCAATTAAACCATATTAATAGCTCTCAATAGTTACAGCTTCAATTCAATGTATAATAATAAACTCGATAATGAAAGATTTGACATGTAACAAGAACCTCAATAAAATTCAAATAAGAGTAAACTCGAAAATGAAAGGTAGTGTCACACCCCAGCCTTGGGAGGTGCTAGCGACACACGATGCTCGAAGGCCCTTACGAACCCACGTCCATTCTATTCATTTCTTAATCATGAATCTGGGCTAACGAGGCCTCCAAGTGCTACTACCACAATCAAAGGATAAAAACGAGTACAACTAACTTGCAAAAGAACATGGACAGGCTATATATTTTTTGCATAACTGGACCCCACAAGGTTACAACCCATTTTTTTTCAAACAGCCAAACTCTAGTCTACAAACCTCTAAGAGTACCAAAAGAAGTGTGTGTATATATATATATATACCAACAAGAACAGAACCAGATTATCGAAAGGAGCTTAGAACTACCAAACCTTACAGTATAGGATTCATTTAGAATGAATGAAAATCTTACACTAACTCATGCCAAGTAAGAAGGTTTCTCCACATACCTTGTTGTTGATCTAACTAGTCTTCTACAATGATTAAACTTGCCTTTAATGAACCTTCAGAATCAATGCCACCAGATGATAGAGGCTACAACAATGATTCCAAGTTTCTTCAAGCTAAATCCTAATAGAAACGTGCCACTAGATGATAGAGGCTACAACAATGATTCCAAGTTTCTTCAAGCTAAATCCTAATAGAAACGTCTTCTGATTTAATTTAAGCTATTTTGAAACTTCAAAGGAGATGTGAGAGCGTTTGGTGAGTTATGGTGAGTGGTAGTCCTGGAAAATGAAAAAGAGTGAGCCTTACTGCCCTTATATATGTACATCATGCTTTGGAATTCTGCTACTCCACAAATAAAATGGGTCACCCTGCATCAGGTGGTGTGCCCGATGGGACAGTTGGCAAAATCTGGTCGCATGCAGTTGCCTCTTTTACCTGGTAACACATCCCCATCTGATTGGCCGCGCTAGAAGCCACACTTACCGAACTCTACTTAGGTGTGGGGTGTAACATCAATGATTTGGTGACCAGTAATTATCGTATCGGAATCCCATTAGATTCATTGTTTTGAACTCTAGGCCCCCCATTCAATGTGTAATCTTTGATTACTACTTATTTCATTATTTTTCATGGGTAGTTATTTCTTCTTCCATTTTTCTTCTTTTTTGATATCACTATTTAGTCTTTTTTTTTCTTTTTTGGCTCTAGCTAGTTCTTCTGCTTATGAGTTGGATTGAACCTTTTATATATATATATATATATATAAGTGTTCCTAATTCTTGTGAGTTGAGATGGAAAAACTTTTGACCCCAAAAATTCATACTGAATGTCATTTTTTTCCATCTTAAAGATGATGTCAATTCAGAATCATTTAAAGACGATTCAGGAAAAAGAATATTCATTGCTTTCAAGACGAATAACTCGAACCAAACCCCAAAATATATTAAAGAGGCGGAAAGGATACCCTATTTGGATTAGGTGAATTACTACATTTCTACGTTTAAATCGGTGTGGCATCCGGTACCTCCAAATCCTGGATTCGCCTCTGTACATGATAATCTTCAAAATTTGAATTGATTGGTGTTTGTTCTAGCTTAATCCTTGGGGCCTCACGGGTTTTTACCTTTAACTTGGTGTTTCTACAGTTGAATTCCTGATACTTTTTATATGATGCCTAACTGTTTCCTCCTATTCAGATGTGAGATTTGCCTAAAGCGAGTTTCACAACAAACCCTCTTTCAAGTCCAACTACCAGTAATTCAATGTGGGTTGTTACACTCGTCCCCTTAAAAACTCAAACATCCTACCATCGTACGATACTCTAATTCCACTTTGTCAGGACATAAGCCCAACTACTAATGTGTAGTATGCTCCGGCTCAACCTTTGGGGCATCGTACAAGGCTCTCTAGTGTGCTAGATCCACTCGTAATTCGTAAATAAGGCCATATTTAATGTTAGAGATATGACTGTTACTTGTACGTCACTCATCATATAATTCAAAAAACTTATGCTAGTCATACCTTTGCAAAATAGCATCAGTCAACAAGATACGATAATGGTTTATATTTTACATTCTCAAACATGATAAAGGTTAACACGTTTCTTGTATTCTTACAAACACTACACATAAATGTACAGGTATTATTACTAGTTTCTCTTCTACACCCAAGATCATACATGATAGACCATTCCTACTTCTAAAGTAGAAGCATGAGGTACAGTCAATGCATAGGCTGGTGGCCTACTGATCTTTGTCAAAATGTCATATCCAAAATTTATAACCATTTTCTTAAATAAGCTAGATCCTTGTTTGGTTCGGACGTAGGAATGCCCCAATATGTAAGCTATGCCTGATTCCCTAGCTTCCATCAGTTCACGCAACTCCTCTCTTGCACCTCCCTCAATTTTTGGAGTTTCTGGTATGAAAAACCTCACTCTTTTTTTAGGCTTGGTCATCAGTGTAGTGTGCATTTCTCTATGTTTCGATGATCCAACTGATTCAGAACTCACTTCGTTGTCCTCACGAAGTTGAACTCCAGATATATGAGTTGAAGGGGTTCCAAGAACAGTCATGTCCTCCAAATCCTTGGATAAATCATCAGCAGCATTACCATTCAAACCTGTTTTTCCTGTCCTTATAAACTCGGCTATGCTACATACAAGATCATTCTCAAACTGGAGATCATCCTTGTGAGCATCACGATAACCATACCTAACGATGCATCTATAGATGTGCTGATCTCTTGGGCCAATGTGTCCTACAAGGAACCGTTCCTCGTGTCTAACACGAGGAACTGGGACAGATTTGACACAAATGAAAACTAGCACCTGGTGAAAAGCTGGAAAATTAGTAACAAAGTGTGAGAAGATTGCTGGGATTCCAGAAACCAGCTCAGTGTATATCAGGCCAATGCCACGGATCCTTACAATGCCTAGGGTGGGACCTGCACTGAGTAGCCAGTCAATAGAGACCTTATTTTGAACATCAAATTCGTACTTTTTCAGTGAGCCATAGTGCCAAATGCACATCACCATCATGAAAATGAAAGAAATGGCAATAGGCACCCATGCTCCTTCGAAAAATTTCATCAACGAAGCAGAGAAATATAAAGCCTCAATTGTTCCAAAGAAGATCCCAAAGCAAATTGCAAGGAGGACATTTTGGTGCCAACACAAAACAATTACCAATGACATCAAGCAAGTGGAGACCAACATGACAGTTATGACTGCCAAACCTGATGCAAATATGATAAATTATTCATTTACTTTTTGAGTATATAACTAAATTCGCCCCGTGTTTTTTGAGTATGATAGAATCCATACCTGCAGCATTGCCCAGCCTTTTGGTGTCTCTGAAACCAACAGTAACAGCCAAGCATAATATCATTAAGGTCCAGTTAATCTCTGGGATGTAGATTTGGCCGTGTATTTTTGACGACGTATGCACTATTTTGACTCTTGGGAAGCATCCCAATGCAGAGCATTGCTTAATAATTGAAAAGGTTCCTGTTATAGCAGCTTGGCTTGCCACTATTGCAGCCAGCACAGCAATCACCAGAACAGGCCATCTTAGTTTCTCTGAAACAATAATGTAGGAGATGTCAATTATCAGCAGAATTTGCCTACATTATCTTGTCCTAGTAAAATCAACTCCTTAAGATACATACGCGGTACTGAAACATAAAAGCCAATCTGATAGTCATTCTCCATAACATGATGCCGTGACAGATAAGCAGCTTGCCCCATATATGCAAGAACCAATGATGGATAAACCATGAAGGTAAAGGCCATCTGCAAAATGGAACTGGTCTCATATACAATGGTACAATCTCGCGGTGATACCAAGTGTACAGGTCAGTACAATTTACACTAGGGACTATGTTTTGGCATTCTCTTTTTCAACAACAAAAAGGAGAACATTTAGAATAAAGTATTTCTAAAATCTATCTTCAAACTGCATTCATTCATGTCTCTAGTTCGATAATATTTTCCCTTATCAATAGTCACATCAGATTGTAAACACATATCTGGTGATACAAGTGATTATGTACATCTATAATTATTTGGGGGGGAAAATCAAACCAAGATTATCCCAAGACAATAAACAAACAATTATCAACTGATAATATGGGAAGCAGTTGTAAACATTTCAGCACAACTAGCATCAATCCTTAAGGAAATTAAATAGATAAATTCAGCGATTGAGAACAAAGGCTGCTCGAAGCTTCTCTTCTGTGGGGTACAACGTGCTTTCAGATAAAGTAATCGCCTAAGATTGCTGCTAACCATTTGATTGACTATAACAGTTCCTGATCATTTGATTGCTGTAACTATTTTAGACATTTGAATGAGATATCAAGATTAAGCTCCAACAATCAGGCAAGATTGATTTGTCAAAGACTTACATTACATGTATGAGGTTCCATTGGAGACCAATCAGAAATGTTTTCTTCCTGAAGAGAAATCTCTTCTACACTTTCAATTAGGAAAAGAGATTGTATTAGACACGGGAATTAAAATCATATAGGAAACTCATCCTATTTAATGATTCATGCCTTTTGTCTTTTAACAGTAGTGATCTATCAGTTTTTCTGATGTATACTTTGCTGCCTCTCATTCCCTTCTACTCTTCATCCAGATAACGAATTGTGGATTTGAAACCCCTATTTAGTAAATGAAAACTTTTTCTTCTCTGAACATCATCATATGCGAGAGTTGACGAGAAACATAAAGTCTTAAGGATGCCTATCAGGATGGATGAACACATACCTTTATTGACAACTGGGAGAAGTGTCCAAGATCAGCAAACATTGCTTCTGAACCTGAAAGAATGAAATGTCGTATTTGGTGATAATGATTACTGAAAGAAGTAGTAGATATCTATTTTCTTTTGGGAAGACACAGCTATATACTTTCCTGTTATGCAAAGAAGGATTCCTCCCAAGGACATCCAGCCACCTTTTCGAGTTTTCTTCAAGAACTTGAACACGTAAAACGGAGACAATGCTCGATACACTGTCGGATTCCAGTGTATTATATTATATATACCAATAGCACTGATACACAGAAGCCAAATCACGACAACAGGTGCAAACAAAAAGCCAACCCTGTGGGTGCCATAATGCTGAAGGGCAAACAAGGCTATCAGTACGATACATGCAACTGGAACTTCTATATCTGCAAAATTTTCATATTTCAGGAGAACGGATAGCATGTTGTTTTGGGCATAGGTATTAAGAGTTACATTTTATTTTAAATCCTTTACGTGATAGGAAATACAATCAACTAGCAACCAAAGAAAGAAGAAATAATAAAAGGAGAAAAGAATGAACTGAGCCAAATTCTCTAAGATTTCTCAAAATCTTGGACCTTACCTCCACATGATATATCACGCTAATTCGTGATTAACTTGATGATCTATTCCATCTCACAATTAACATAACTCTCATGAAGGTGATCATCCCATATCAACCATAACTACCACAACGATAAATCAAAGTGCCTGTAAGCACAGATTTATACCTTTATGATTCCCTTTATATTCTTCGGAGATGTATCTAATTACACGATGAAGTTCCGCGAGTCCAAAGGACAGTCAAGATTTATGAATGCAGTCAATAGATTATAGCAAAGTAAACCTGCACTACTGTTCAAACTCTGAGATTCTAGAGGGATTAAACATCTGGTAGCAATGAGAAAAAGTGTGGATAATTTTCTCCTCTTCGCTTCGACTGCAGCCCCATTTACAGAACATCAATCGAATGCCACTTCTCCATCCATCGCAAAGACAAAATCGCTTCTATCTTAGAGCTTTTTATAACATAACATTCAACCAACAAATTCTATGCATGGAAACTTTATGCAGAACAAAGAACATGCCTATGTGAGTGCAATGTTCTAACTTAGGGAATCTGCTTTCCGCGCTTGAATCCAAACAAAAAGCAGTATGAAAGTAGTATGACTATTACTTTCTAATGTTTGACATAAAGTTGTATGGTAATCAACAGAATTATTAACTATTTACAAAACATAATGTAACAGATTGAACGATAAAAGGTCTGTCAAACTATTGAATATGTTAGCTGATCTGAAAACATACAGTCTCTTTTGTCAACTTTTCTTCAGCGTTAAGCAGATAAAAAGCTGCATATATACCAAAAATGATCAGACAGAACAAGGTTAAAAATCTTACATAAGTGATGATCTTTTCCCAAAGAGAGTTCAGCACCAGAAATCGCAGAGAAAACTGCCAAAAAAAAAAAATGAATTCAATAACTAATACCAAATTGAGGTTTCAACCAACCAAACAGAAAACAGTGGCATACCAGAAATAGCAGGTGTAAGAATGCCATCCCCTATTACCATACAAGCTCCAAGTAGAGATAATACAAGTAGAAATTTCTGTAATACTCTATACCCCTCAAGAGTTGATTTAAGTTTTGCCCCAAAAGAAGTTTGCAAAGGACTAGTATTAATATCCTTCTTGTAGGTTGATAATTCTTCATCTGCTGACTGAGAATTTGGCAATAAATTCACTTTGACATGTCTACAGAGGAGTGAATATAGAGCAAATGTACCTCCTTCACCATTATCATCAGCTTTAAGCACAATGAACACATATTTCAACAGAGGAATCAAAGTCAATGTCCAAAAGATAAATGATAAAACACCATAGACTTCTTCATTCGTTTCTGTGTTTTCAATGTCTTCAGCAAAAGTACTTGTATATACATAGAGTGGGGAGGTACTCAAATCCCCATAAACAACTCCCAAACTTTGATATGCTAATGTCAACACTGTCCTCCAAGATTCTTTCTGCAAAATCAGCAACATCTTTTTTTTGTCAGGAAATCACAACACATTAACAACATGTACAATTGTACAGAAGACTCACCTTTACACGATTCTGATAAAACCCTGTTTCAAGATCCATGGCGTGTCCTTAAGAAACCGTTTTCATAGCAATATTTACAATTTACCTTAACGTCCGTATAGTAGTAGTGCACAATATATTAGAGAATTGCACGAACAAGAAAAGCCAAAGATATATATATATATATATATATATATATATATATATATATATATATATATATATATTTGGTGTTAACCCAGAGAATACTGATAGAAACTTGGGAGTAGAAGAATAAGAGCAGAGAGTCTTCTCACATGACAGGGAGACAGACAGCACAATTATAAAAGTATTTTTATTACTATGAAAGAAAGGAAGAAAACAAGAACGTGAGATATAGTTGTATATAGTTTGTGTGTGCGTGCTTCTCGTCGTGGGTGGAGAGTTCCTTGTGTGACAGTTTGCTTATGGGAGTTTTTGTTTTTATTTTATTTATCTTTTTTATTAATTTTATTCTTTTTGCTTCTGGGAGTTTTCTTGTTAGGTTAGGGAAAGGATTTGTATTGACAGCATAAAGTTATTTCAAAAGAATTTAAGTTATATAAATATTTTTAAATTATATTTGTATATTTTAGTCTGTAATATAGGTTAGTTATCTTTAACAAGTATCACTTAATGCTTATCAAGAAATGTATATATGTATACTCAGACAAATTATTTAAGTGTGTAAATGTTTTTGACGTAGAACTTAAATTCTAATTTAAATAACTTACAACAACATATAATAACTACTCCCTCCGTTCACTTTTACTTGGTGGCAAGTTTTGACTTTTCACGCACCTTAAAAAATAATAAACGAAGTACATAATTTACCATGATACCTATATTAATCGATGCATATTTTATTGGATTTTGAGAAAATAATTTGAAATGAGTAATAAATAATGTGGGTATAACAGGAAAAAAAGTTTGTTTTCTTTTGATATGCGCAAAGAGACAAGTAAAAATGAAAATTTATTTTTAGTATACATGCCAAGTAAAAGTGAACGGAGAGAGTACTTATAACAAGTCAAAAATAGTACCTTAAAAAATAAAATAAACTATCGATTGTAATTTTTTTTACACAATCAGTATAATTTAAGTATTTAACTTGTTACTTGTTCATAGATAATTTATTGCACTTATTATTGATTGTTACAGGCAATTATCTTTTCTATTGATTTAAAAAATTTGTTTTCAATTTCTTGCTTTTGGTAGACTTTAGTACCCTCGGTTGCGGCATAGGGACAACATGTCTACGTTTGCGCTTATATCAGACAGAAATTTGTATTTATAGTATATTTTGCAGATTCTTGGAATTATTCTATTTATTGCAGTGAAGTCCTTTTTTCTGTCGTTTCAGCTTAGTTGACTTTTCTTGGGTTATGAAAACGAAGGTTCTCAGAATTAGTTTTGGATGAGATCTTACGCAGGTGCTCATTGGATATTCTCTAAGTAAGAAGGACAAATTTGTTGAACACATTTGTTTATTGAAAGCCACTTGAGCTAAATTAGGTTAGGTTGATTTATTTTTATATACTGTAAAACATGGATATTTATAAATTTTGATAAGCACTACAAGTTATAAATTGTTCACATTAAAATAACGAAACATAAAACCATTATAAATATTAGTCAAAGTTTATTAAATTAGGAACCATTCAAAATATTGAGATTGAACAGAAAGTATTAAATACAATCAATTAAAATGGGATCAAGAGGGGAACCAGGTATACCGCCGTATACCGTTCTTTCTTAAGTGGATTTTCTGAATACTTATCCGTTTATTTTTATTTGTCTACAATAGACTTTGCACGCCTCTTAAAAGAATAGATGAATTGCATATTTTAATATAGTACCAATAATAATAATAGTATTTGAGAAGTTTTGGAAAATTATTTTAGAAATGAGTAATTAATGATAAGGGTAAAACATAAAAAATATATAGTCCTCTCTTGATTTGCTAAAATTGATAAGTAAAAGTGAAACCATATTTTTAATATAGTGAATAATTATAAGTGAAAGGAGGAAGTATATTCTTTCTCTTCTGGTTAATTTTTCGTAACGTCATCAAACTTATTATTTTTCTCCCAAATCTTATGGTTTGTTCTCAAGAAATAAACTTGGCCGGTTGGGGTGAGAAGTTTGGGCAAACGAATTTCGAACTTTTTGGATTTTTGTTTTGAATTTTGGACTATGGATTGGATTTTGGATTTAATTTTAAAATTTTTTGGATATTGTATTTTGTACTTTAGAAGTTCCGAAATTTTTATACTTTAGATTTAGTCCATTATCCATATGCCAATAGTAATACGTTCAATACCCCACCCATTAGATATTATCTCATATACTCAATATTAATTACTAAGTTACTGCCAGAAGACTTTCTATTTGGACATGATTTTACTATTGCTACTTCTTACGGCCGTATTAATTAGGAGTGTTAATGAATACTTCAAAACCGACTAAACCGACCGAACCGTACCATACAGAACCGATTTTTAGGTTTGTTTTAATAAAACCGTAGGTTTTTATATACATCTATAACTGTACCGATAATTAAGGTTGGTTTTTTATTTTATAAAAATAAACCGAAAAAATACCGAATTGTACCGAAAAAATTTACATGTGAAAAATATATTTATATATTAATTATGATAGTCTATAATTACGTATTTGAGTCGCTTATTACACTCAAATTTACTGCATTTTAATTGAGTTTGAGCTTTAATCTCTAGTGTCTTGCACTAATTGTGTGTTTTATGCCTTGTAGGAGTGATTCCGAGCTATGTAGATGTTATGGAATGAATCAAGTGATTTGGAGCTTTGAAGTCTGAGTAAAAGCTCAAGGAATTAAGCCGGGATCGTGTTCGGGGGTCAACGGATGACAGTTGGAACAAACGAAGAATCGAGTAGGCATATTGCGCACTGTCTAGTAAAATGCACATCACTTTTTGCTCAAAACTCCATTTGGGCTCCACAATATATGGTTGGAAAACTAACGCAAAGAGCTACAACTTTTATGTTTTACGTTTTTCCAAATTCCAAACGGAACAGGGTGAAAAGTGCGCGTCAATAGCGCGGCCGTGCTCGTCAGGCAGAATCAAAGTCGATATGCGCGGTCTGAGCGCGGCCGCGCACGTCCTGTCCGGAAAATGTGTCCTTTTTCGCGTAGTAGAAGGTGTAATTGTTTGGGCCCAACCCTACTTGATATATATACATGGAAAAACGGTAGTTTTAGGGGTTGGACATATTTTTGACACTGATTCGACCTAAGGAGGCAGAGACACAATAGAAGCAAGGCGGGGAATTCTTCTACGAGTTTTTCCTTCCTCTTCCTATTTTCATTGTTGGTTATGACTTTTAGTATTGTAGTTTTACATACTATTATGAATAGCTAATTTGTTATCTAGAGTTTTGATGGAACCTTTTGAAGGATAAATTCTTATTATGTTTTTTATATAATTGAGCCGTAGTATTTTCTCTATTTGTTCAACTATATTATTCTTGTGGTTGATTAAAGGGCCCTCAATTAGCTGTGCCTATTTAGTATGTATTACTCGGGAGACAGTGCATATTTAGGTAGTTGTTGAACAACATCACTCCCGACGTATGTGAGGAATCAATAACCAAGGGTTTAAAGGTGGGATTCGGGATAACGAAACCTTGGGTGCGATCTAAGTGAGCTGTAATTAAATCCAGCTAGCGTAACTCGGGAAAGTATGTCTAGTAAATTGTCGTAATTACTTGGGAGAGAATTACAACACACAGAGCGCTCATGATCGGTAGAGAATACTTAGGCGAAATTATAGAAGACATAGCGGGAAGGATTCCGATAATTGGGAAAATCATAACTCTAGACCTCCTTAATCTTTTCTCCAACCTGTAGTATCTTTAGTGTTAATTTATTATTTTAATTTGTTAGTTAGTTAGTTAAACACAAGAATCTTAATATCTATAAGTTAGGAATTGTTCAAGCTTGTATTCTCGGTGATAGTGAACAATTGTAGCTAAGCCTTAGTTCTCTGTGGGATTCGACTCCAGACTTGTAAACCGGATTATATTTGCAACGACCGCTTAGTCCTTTTTATAAGGCATAGTTGGGCGTGATCAATTAATTTAAAAAATAATAAAGCATTAAATTTTTCCTTGGGTCTATGAATTATGAAAATAGTTACAAGCTAACAAGTAATTAAACTCAAAATCCTAATTCCCAAACCTTTTTTGCTACTCCTATTGAAACTAAATTATTTCCAGTACATTCACTTGCAAGTTAAGACACAAGGTATTGTAGCGGTTGTGAGTAGCAAACCAATGTATTGAATGTGTTTCCTTTCGTATGAGTTAGATTTATTTTTTTGAAGATTCAATCTTCTATAGACTTTATTCTTAAGTCCCAGTCCAGATTGGTTAATATCTTTCCACTCATGTGATTTATATTTTTTTATATTAATTTGCTTAGTTTCTTTTACGTTGCTGTAGAATAGTTGATGAATCTATACGATCTAGTCATCTTTCATATTTTCTTAATTCATCACCCTTTCAAATGTAAAAATGTCTAGAGAGTTTTGTTAAGTCCTATAAAAGTACTTATGTTATTGCGTTCTACTCCTGCTAGTGACTTTTACATGACATTTAAAAAAAATATCAAAAACTAACCGAACCGAACCGAACCGATACAGACGAGAAACTGATATGATTGGGACGGTTTCGAAAAGTCTAATTTTGGTTAAACATAATAGAATAACCGAAAAATTGGTGTGGTACAATTTTATAAAATAATCGGCCGAACCGAACCATTGACACCCCTAGTATTAATGTCTCTGTTGTATTTTCTTAATAATAATTTTATTACTTGAATACTTTATTTGGATGATTGCACTGATAATGAGGAGCTTTTCATGCAATTTAACATAAGTACTTCATTTGGATATTCATTTTTGTAAAAAGAAGAAACATCTCCACTTATAAGTTGAAAATCAAAAATATAAAATATCCCAACCGATTAATCTGAAACCGAACTTAAAAAATACGATCGAATCCGAGTTTATTTCAATTGAATTTGGATTGTCATTTCTACGGTCCGAAAAACGAAAACCCAAATCGAGATTTTCATGAACAATCCGATCAGCCCAAACAATGACCGG